TCCCTACTGTCTCTAGGCTACCCCGTAAGTGCTCCTCCAGACCAACATCATCTTTGGTGGCCTCTTGCAAAATGTTCTCCATCTGTCCCTCTGCCACACCAGCTGCAACAGAGAGTTCTGCTCCAACTGGAGCCCTGCCTTGTTTACTCAGGCCATCTCCATCAAACGGATCATCCCCAGGGTTACCGAGGCTGCTCAGCTCCAGGGACCGACGGTGCTCTTGCCACTTTTCATTGAGGCTGGGGTCGCTACTACGTCGATTGGTTGTAGGCACGCTGCTATCACAGGCTGTCGTCAGATTGTCAAATGATCTCGTCTTTGGTAACCTATAAAGGTACAAATAATCAGAATCCAAAGTCAGGGGACTTTTTTTTTTTTTCAAATGCTTAGCTACTATGGTTTAACAACTCCCCCCACAATTAGGACAGCAACAATCTGCTAACTAATGGACTTCTGTGAAGCATTATCTAGGAGCACATTTTGACCATCTGTAGCACAGAGCTGCTTCAGTACTTTCTTTGTTTGCCATCAGGAAAATATGTTCAATCAGACTTCAGACATTCCCAGAATAATCCTGTTGCCACAAAACACAAATGCTTACAGTCTGGTCACACCTCCTCATTAACATGTGCTCAGAATGATTGTACAAAAAAGCAAAGAAATAGTTATGCAACACAGAAAAAGAACTCAAATTCAAGATAACCAAATGAAAGCTTATATCCCACTAGAGTATAAGGAATCCTACAAGGCAATGCAATACCCGGAGCTTAATTCTGTTTCCTAATCTTCTCTCTGCTATGCTATCACCACTGAAACTTAACAGCTTTCAAAACTGAAACAATGACAGACTGCTTTTGAGTAGGTCAGTCAAACAGTCCCGCAAATAAGCCTGTGAAAACACCTCCCTCCCACCACAAGTATCCTCCTCTTTATATCCCACAATATTCTCTGTTGATCTTACTTTACAGGATGGGATTTCTGGGCTCTAGGCTCACCTGCCCAGAGGCTGATCTTCAGGGCTAGAGCCGGGAACAGGGTATGGGGCACAGGTGTCATCAGCGGGTGTAGAGGGGGAAGAGCACGGCAGGTAAACAGCACTCCAGAGCATTAAATTACGCACGTGGCACACTGGATACAGCACCTGGGAGGGGAGAACACGCGATGTTCAGAAACGGTAAACTGCTCGCTCCCAGAACGCGGAGAATTGTTCAGATGTGATTGTGGTAGTTGACTATTCAGGTTTGCAGCTGGGAGCCTTTGCTAGATCATCTAGATAACTCTGAAGGCCAGCGAGCAGCTATGGCGTTTTTAATCGGCTACACTTGGATATATAATTATCTTTTCTTTCAGAGACAGAGGCTGAGGCGTAACAATGCCAGCTTTCAGCTTCTCATGAATGAATTACTGCTATGTGCTCTGTGTGAATATACACCTTAATAATGCTTCTGAGCAATTTAAACTGCTGAAGAATTCGGTGGCCCATTGTGAGCGCAGAGACGTCCTTGTACTTTGTATTATACCATGCCATATGAGAGCTGAACTAATAACCTCCTTCTACAGGCTCCGATTCATCAAAGCTAACCTTGTCTTTAATGGAAGCACTCATATGTTAAAAATTGAGTACATGCAGAAATACTATGCTGAACAGGCAGCTTGCTCTTAAAAGGGATTCCTTGACTGTGGAATATGCTTTCTGTTTCAGTTTAAAAACACTTTGGGTCACTCTGTCAATTCCACTCTTCCCAGGTAACTTCCTTGTGGAAAAGCAGGCAATGGCATAGAAACAGTCAGGTTTCCCTGCCACTGAGCAGGAACTGAAGTGTTTTCTGTTACAAAAAATAAAGCTAAATATTTAGTTACAGAAAACGCATTTCCAGCATAGAGAAATTTCCAAGGTTGCCCTTGACAGTCCTCAATTATCAGCAAACTTAACGCAAGACTTGAAATGTCAGACTGCACAGAATTCAACGGTAAACATCGACGAGGAGAGCTGAGCGCACTTTTTTGGAAATACCTATCTCCACACTGTATCCACCATGACAGTTAAGCCATTACGAAGTCCCACTGCTACAAGCTTGGGTATTTTCTTAAGGTACACATTTCTGAGAACATTGTGCCTGGGAGCCCCTGACGGGACTGGGGAATGAAGGATACATACAGATTCTGACTGGGAGGAGTAGAGCAGGTTTCTGAAGGCTTTGTTTGCTGCCCGCAGCAAAGACCAGACAGAACAGGTCCGTTCCTGAGTGTGTTTTTCTCCTCTCTCTTTCGCATTGTTGCACAGGAATGTACCAAAGAGGCAAGAGTAGGTGTGCTGCACCAATTTGACCTGCACAGACCAATACAAATATTGTCACATGGCAGAAGATATCAGCTTAATGTGAGAATCAACGTTCAGGCTTAAGAAGCAACAAATCTTTCCTTCACAGGGCAATACACCCCCTTCCTAAAGACTGATATACAAATACACCTAGCATTGTTTGCATACCTCTAAACTAATTGCAAAGGAACTCAGGCATAGCGGAATCTTTTAAAATCATAACTAAAAAAAAAAAAAATCGAGGAAAAAAAATATAAAGACAAAATTTTTGTTCATAATGAAGTATAAGAGTCTTGCTGATTCCAACTGATAGCCCTGTAGGACAGGCACAGAAGAGAATCATGATACCCGTTACAAAACATTAATGCAGCACAGAAAGGCAAAGAACAGTGGGGAAAAGTATTAATTTCTGTACGTTGGTATAAATGCACACAGCACACGCATCCTGATCATTATGCATTCTATGCTGTGGTCCCAGTCTGACAAAATAGCTTAATATGAACTTAACTTTAAGCATATAAATGACTTCCATGAGATTATTCAGACATTTAAATGAAGACAAGTACTTCAATACTCTAATAAATTAAGGGGTTTACTCTAAAAAGGCCAGAATGCTAAGGGTATGTTCACAGACGGCTCCTGTAGATCAGCAGTGTGCTGTGAAGCCAGTTACAACCTTACGTATCCCATTTCACAACTGAGCTAAGCTGGGACTGTACATGTGCTCGGTTACATGGCTGAGCGGGCAAGTGGTAATTCAAGTCAACCACAATCACAGGCATGTGCTTTAAATCTCTTAGTGGATCAGACACTTCATAAAAACTTTTATTCTTCAGATTACTAGTCCTGCAGTCAGTGGCTGCCACTTTCCCAGAGACCTGCTTTCCGGCCTTGGGAAATGATTTTGACCATCCTAGGCAAATTTCGAACAGGAGAGCTGTCCACTTCAAAAGAAAACAAAAAAAGCTCATATATCCTACACATTTTCAGCAGAAAAACTGAATGGAAAGGTAAGGGGGAGGTTGTTTTTAGAGGAGGAGCCTTCAAGTCAAAACAAGATCAAAGTAGGGGGAAGTTTTATTGCCCGTAACTATGACTTTTTCCATGCTGTTTGGATGCATTATACCAGAGTTATTTCAGCACCTCTTAGGTGAGACTATTAAATTCGTATAATTTATTTCTTTCTTTAAAGTTTAAAAGAAGTCCTCAAGGGCTCTGCTTCAGTTTTAAGAGCGAACAGACCGCAGGTCCCATGAAGTATACAAGTACTTTTGTCTACTGTATCTGGGCAGTTTTCCCATTTCCTTTATCAGGCTGCAGCGTATCACAGATAGATGGGAAAACCAGAAACTCCTTGGGACTCTATAGTATGTTAGTACCGGGTACCGGTTTAGAAGCAGTCTATAAAACAGCAATCTCTCAAGCCACAACTCACAAGGAATGCTTCGTTAAACTCGAAAGAGCAAGGGAACTGCCTCTGGAGCTGATGGACGCAGTCCAGCCACTGTAAAAACACTGGGCAGCGCTCATTTAGGTCATCCGAATTCTCACCATGGCCACAGCGATCTGCAAACTTGTGGCCAAAATCCAGCCACTCCGTCTCCACTAGCACCTGGAAACCCTGCAGAAATGAAAGTACAGATGAAAAGTTCCTATTTTTCTTTGGTTCAGTTTTTTAAGACAGTCTGAGACTCACGGGAATCACCTTATTACTGTGTCCTCCCTCACTCCCATTTCCCTTCAGCATTGGCCTCATTTACGGCTTTACCTAATGCCTCTGTGTTCTGAAATGCTGCACAATGAAATTAGGACAGATATGAATTCCCAAGGCTACATGAACAGGAAAGGGAATAAGGCAGGTTAAGTCCTCAGTGACTGGCAGGAAGGATTCTGATACGACACCTATCCTGGCCAGGCAGCGGGGAGTAGGAAATTCACCTTGATCAAAACCCTCTGAGAATCACGGTAACCAACATGTGGACAAGAGAGGAAATTTTAAAGCTCTCCCTTGAAAATGATGGGTGGATCTATCTGTCATAAAAAAAACCAATTCATCCACGATAGGACATCCATGCTCAGGGTGCCTGCCTGTGCGCATACCATTCAACGCCCTCAGACATCTGGTGTGAATTTTGGGGTTGTCCTATGCAGGGACAGGAGCTGGACTTGATGATCCTTATGGGTCCCTTGCAACTCAGGACATTCTATGATACCAAATGTAGCACAGTCACAAGGTTGATTAAAGGTCAAGTTGCACGATTTGCATGAGTTGCGCATGAAAGGGGCAAGGAACGTTTCAAAACAGTGCCTAGCTGAGCACCTGAACGCGACACCTCATCTTACCGGACCTAAAACCCATCACAGGTTCGGAAGGTTTTGATTCTTAGCGGAAAGTAAAATTGTAGAGCATGCTTATTAAGTCAATGGTTGTAATTAGAGCAAAAATAATAGCTGATAGCCAAAAAGCTTGAAATGTGACAATGCTGAAGACTCATTTTCCTAAACATTTCTGACCCTTGTATAGACAGCTACAGTTTATGGTTTCCTCTGATGCGGTGGTGGACAAGAGGGAAGGCAAAGGTTGTGTACAGAAGAACTCTGCACTTTGAACAGGAACGACGGCCCTCTTAGGAGGGACCAGGAGGAGGCTCCGTGCCAAGGACAGAGCAGTATGTTTTGACCTGATGGATGCCGACTTTAGAACCCATGTGAAAAAGGATCTGAGAAGTTTCCACCATTTCATCCAAAAGGCACTGCTACAGTTTAAACTTCTGGTCCTCATGTGTCCAAGGCTTTAAGCAGCAGTTTTTATAGCAGAGTGCTCAGACATATGCTTCTGTTCTAGACAACAAAGGCATCTGCATGTGGGCTGGCAGATGGAATCCAACCATCACATATCACACAATCAAAAAAAGGGGGGGGGGGGGGGAATTTCAGGCTAAAAAACCAAGAGAAATATAACTAAGTGACAGAGGACAACGAAAATGTGAAATTGGAAAAACATGCAGTTGGGAAATCTAGAAAAGAGAAAGGCTTTGTATCAATAGTTGGCTGAGAAACTGCAATGGTGTAATGGAAACTGCAATACGTAGCACTTTGTGCTACATATTCTCAAGCTAAATACGGGGAAGCATAGACCATGACTGGGCAGTTACAGCAAAGGGGAAAAACATAATCTGCTCTTGAATTAGAGACTATATTTACACCTATATGTAACTGTGTCTGCAGACTACTGTTAGTAAACTCCTGCTAGCTTTAGTGCTTTTTCCAGTGGAAAAAAAATGAAATCATTTATAGACAGACTTCCTCAGAAAAGGACCCAAACTCGGTAACTACCTCACGCACTAAGAGATGGTTTACAAACCTCTGTGGTCCTGTAATACGGATCTAGCAGCAGTTTGGCCAGCGCCACGATCTGGGGGGTTCGGTCCCAGCCGTCTGAGCAGTGCACCAAGACTGGTCGCTGGTCTCGGTCCACGGCATGAACTACGAGTAGCGCGGATTTCAGAAGCACAGATAAGTGCTGCAGCCATTTGGTACTTTCCAGAGCTGATAACCAACTAGAGGAAAACAAGGAAAGACAGTTTTTGCTCTTTTAAAATGCTTTCAGGTTTGGATCTTCAAATTTATCAAGTCAAAGCTCCTATTTTAATAAGCTGTGAATGCCGTTCTTGAATATTTTTCATTTACGTCTCGTTAACAATTTCCCAGATTTGTAAGAAACAAAGCCATGCAGTCCACCTGAGGAACAGCCAGTCTCTCGTAAACGCTTTGCTGCATAAGACTTGCAAGAAGCTTAAATAACATTTTCCCAGACAAGAGCATAACATGTCACCAGCAACAGACAATGGAACAGTGCTGTAGGTATCTCAGGAATCTCTACCTTATGAAGATCTACGTATCCAGTTTGGAAAGGGTGGCCATTCTGCATCTACTTTGAAACCATGAAAGACTCTTAGGAGCTAATTCAAAACAGGGAAGCGGTAGGGGAAACAGGACTGGTGCAAGGACAGTGTCCTAGTGAAGACCCAACCTGAGAAGCTCCCGAGACGATGGGCCGTTAGAGGCTAGCTATCCCATAGCACTGGAGGGCTATGAAATGCGTCTCCTGAAATGACGCTATAAATGCGTGAAGTACATGGAACGCCACTAGAATTTTCTGAAGGAGAGCCAAGCTGTGAAGACTGAAGAACCAGGAAAAACAGGTAAGCCCAGATCTCATTTTTTAGGTTCACTTCAATGATAATAAACTAATGGCTTCCTTTAGCTCAAATTCCGTGGAAATGAAAAGATTAGCATTATTAGACAGGAAAGTCATCAAGAGAAAAAAAAACCACTAAATTTCAGTTTACTAATCAGCAGCAAAAGAATGCAGTTGCAGAAACATGTAAACAAAGGCAAAAAACCACCAAACGTCCACTTACTTTCCTGGATCTGGCATTTGTGTGCAGAGCAAACGCAGCGACTGAAAACTCTTCCGGATAGAATGAATGTTTGCCATCCCCATGAACACCACTTCACAGTTTGGATAATATTCTGTAAGGAAATATCAAGAAAGAGGGAAGAAACTAAAAACTACACTAAGTTTAATTTCTAAAAGAAGCTTTTTCATAAAAACAAACTGCTATTGCTGTGGGCAGATGAAATAACCTGTTTACGAATATTTTAAGGAGAAACTAGTACTTGGAGTTCAGTAGGTATTCCAGACATTACAGCACAGCATAGCAAAACAGGAAACAGTTAGCAAAGTGTTTGTGTATTTATTTTCAATGTTTCACTTCACATTACAAAAAGCAGAGTACAAACCTATGGGAATAGTGATATTGCTGTGCTCGAGGCTACAGAATGCTTTTAAAAGGAACATCCTAAAAGCAAAGCATAAACAATATTTAACTGATAATTTACGGATGTTCCTAAATTTGGCAAACTAACGTACATTTTTATACAAGTTATAGATTCCTCTTCCTAACCACTCAAAAAGGCTAAAAGGTTACTTCATTTACTGCTTTATTCTGAGCTTTTCTATTATGAGGAACAAGCATCACACACGTGAGAAATACTCAAAGCTCAGGAAAACAGGAGATAGATGGAATTACTGAGCCTGCCTTCAGAAGTTGCTATGGGAGGTACTCAGGCAACTCTGCTCTACTGGCGAGGCAGTATCTGTACAGACAGGGGCCGCTACTCAGAGGGAACACCGAAGAAGCTGCAGAAAAATACTGATAGTCTTTCCTGGATTTAGCTTTCCTCTATCCTGATGCTTCTAACTGCACAAAAATGATGACACGGTAGCTAAAATGGCCTTTTCTACAATAGAAAAAAATTAATCAGGATTCAGAATACGGGATATTGAGTGCTTGCACAGGAAAACGCAGTAGTCTCTTAAAAGAGCATGTTTTATATCATTTGATTTCTTAACTGTTAACAGTGCAATGAATTCTGACCCAAACCAGAACATCCTGTTAGTGATGGACTAGGTAACCCCAGTCAGAAGCGACTGATGGTATCAGACAATTTAAGCATTTTTTGGTCTTTTTACTGAATGATGTTATAAATAAAATAAAGCATAACGTAACTGAAACTTTTATACGGAGAGAGCGAAGCAAACCTGGCAATACCTGGAGAAAACTTAGCAGCAAAGAGGAAGCACTTAATGCAGGTCAAATTTATCAAAGGTGACAAGCTGTTTGGAAATTTTCTACAAAGAATTCAAGAACCAATACATAGGAAGACAATCAAACTTCTTGTATACTCTGCTTTTCTGTTGTGAAATTTTACTCTCTGATGACGAGTTATTTAGTAGTTTTGAGGTGTTAAATGGAAAATTCATCTTTTCTTACTGGTGGCTACATATCAAAGTGCAGCTATTGCAGCCAAGACCGAAATAAGAATATATGGTCAAAATAGCTTTTGTTATCTTATCTACAGTTGTTCTGTCTGGTGGTTTTTTTGTAGACTCTCCATCCACAGAATTTTAACAGGTTGAATTCATATCCAACAATGACCATAAAAAAATATCTTGTTTATAATACCAACAAGTTACAAGTGCCAAAGAACACAGAAAGTGATAATTGCAAATGTATTACAAATGCAAGATGAATCAGGATTTCAGTTGGTTTGGGTTATGATACAAATGCTGAAAAATGTTTCAGCTTTCGAAAAATTGCTGAGAAGTTGTCTTCTGCACAACCATTCTAGAATATTACTATCCTCTACAGTTAGTGGATTTTTACAAGTTTGTTCAGGTTTTTTTTAGACATTAGCACACTGGACACTTTGTCTCACTCTATACATTTGACTCAGCAGGGGAAAGCTAATCAGCATATTCCACACAGTTCAGCATTTACTGAACGCTGTTACCAGCTGGTTTTATGCTCTAAGAAACAGACCTAATTAACAGCTAAACCTGTCTTTTTGAAGGGCTGCGTGATAGCTGCAACGATCCAGAACTTTCACATAGATGAACAGTATTTGCATCCACGCAGTCTGTTAAATACACAGTACTGAAGGATATCAGTGTAATTATATTTGAGCAAATCCTTTTGATTAAGTTAATAGAGAACTGAGGGGATACCTGGGCACTCACAGCCTCCACCTTTGGCTCTGTTCGCCACAGCTGCTGCGTAAGATCGTGCGTCCAAGATCAAAAGCTTCTGAGGCTGTATCGCCAAACTCTCTGCTCCTGAAGCATTAGAGATTGAGGAATCTGGGGAAGAGGATATGCAACTGATGAATAACTGAAGGGATACTTCTGACACTGTTCACAACATTGATTCACTCAAGTCCCACAACGCATATGCGCTGCACATACAGAAACTGGAGAATGCCTGATTAAATACAAAGGATTGAGTCTGTTACAGTACATATAGAAGATTAAGCTTTTACATAAAGCTCTGCCCTTTACAGAAAAGGAACAGTGACAAACTTACCAAATTCCACATCAGAGAGGTCCCCTCCATTGGAGAAATCTCTGGAACAATTTCCATTCATTAATTTGTTACTGTTGGACCTCGAATCTGAGGCACAGGCTTTGGCTACAGACTGGACAAGGTGTTCATCATCCGCATTCCTCCAGCCCCACCAACTGACCTCAGGCTGTCCACAGCGGGAAATAACTGCTCCGTTGCTCTGATGCCTGGAAAAGAAAAGAATAAAACCAGCGGTGCCTAACTTGAAGAATCAGGATGAAAGACACAGAGGGCATAAAAAATTAAATGGTGCACTCCAGTAGTTTAACTCCTGTTGGGGAACTCTCTACCGTTCAGCAGTTATCCTCCATCCGTGATTCAGTGGCAACATATTCCATGTGCTTCCCTTCAAAATGCTGACTGCGACCACACAGTCACTAGACGGTAAAAGTCAAAGCCGAAATCAGTAAGAGAAAACAAAGCATTTTCTTGTTCAATATTGTTGTCTGTTGGCCAGCGAAAGCTGGGGAACATTTTGGAACAGCAGATGAGGCATTAAAGAGGTATTCAACACCTGCTGGATAGTCAGGTCTACTGCTACAATGCCAGAATAAAGAGGAAAGTTACATTGAACTCATGCTCATTTTAAAGCTAGAAGACAGGAGTAAAACCACAGATTCACTTTTTGATGAGATTTTTTAAATCAAAACATAGCACTAATGAAATCTGAAGAATGTTACAATTTTGGTGGGAAATACCACGCCTTCTATCTGATGATGCCTAATGGTAAGCCAAAACCGTACTCCTATACACCGATGGTACCCATTTCTAGGCACCACCTGTGAATCACAGGAGGCGGTCCTTGAACACTGCAGAACCATATCCAGAAGCCAGTGTATTTTAAGTATTGTTTCACTAGCTAAAAGGAAGAGCCTTTCGCATCTCAGGATGCTAAATATCTGCAGTTTTACTCGTTCTGAAGTCTGGTATTAGCATCTGTGGGAAAGGAGTGGCTCTGCCATCCCCTCTTCAGCTTCTTCTCCTCTATGTGTGGGTCTTCTCCGTCCCTCTTCCTGACCCTCTCTGGGCAGTGTTTTCTCTGCTGCCTCTCAAACACCGATCGTATTTAGCAGAAGAGCACCAAGGAGCTGATGAAGGGCAACAGTAGCTCTTACGTGTGAGCACCACCGTGGTGCCAGGCTGGGAAATAACAAAGTCCACAAACAAGTAAATTTTGCTACAGACACCTAAGTAGCACTGAAAAAGGGAATACTGTTTATTAACAGAATATTTTTCTTCTAAAATGTGATAGAAATTGCAAGCACTCTGTATACTGATAAAACTTCAGAGAACTGGCAAATGGAGTAGAGAGATGAGTCTATCAATTAAAAAATATGTCGAGGAGATAACCAAAGAATGACCTAACTTGAACGTAGCTATCTCCTTCTGGGGAGCATCATTAAAAAAAAAAAAAAAAAATCAGTTGTTTGCTTTTTTTTTTACATGTCTGAAGAGTTAGTAGTTATTTTCTTAAATTTGACCTAGCTTCTTGTACTACACAAAGAACAGATTTGAAGTAAGTAAAATGCATCCAACCATTGCAAGCATACTCTGAAAAAGATGTAAAAACTCTCCCCTATAATCTATTATATAAAAGAGTACTGAAACATATTATCACTGTAATTTCACTTACTGCCTCCGTGCTGGCACATCCCACTGCTGCCAACAGAAATGTAATGCCCCGTTTACTGAAGCGTTTACATCTGGCATTAACAACGTTCTCCTTGACCTTCACTAGCAGCACCCCGAATTCAGAGGACCTCAGCCACGGCAGGAAAGGAAGCCCAGCTGTCGGTATGAAGAGCTGCAGGTGGAACGGCCAAAGCAGAGAAGAGACCCAACTTCTCGCAGGCCACAGGGTGAGTCAGCGATGCTGAGGAATGGGACACCTAGAAATGTTAACTCCCTGCCTCATGTCCCATCTGAAATATCCTATCACTCACCCACACACTGTTTTCTATTTAAATGGCCTGCAAATATACATCCCTTTAAGCAAAGGTGCCTCTAGGCAATGCCATTCTTGCTCAGGAGTCCCATGAGAAGCCCATACATAAAGTATGCACGTGACAATTACAGGTCCTATATGTTACGATGCGGCAAAGGATTTGAGAGTCTTCCTGCAAACAAGCTGGCCATCCCAGCTTCACGTCAACCAAGAGTTGTTTAATTCCCTCTAATAAGGCAACTGATGACTGGTGAGCATTAGCTGAATCTTTAAGCAAATTTAAACAGTTGACTTTGACAGCCCTGAACAGGAAGAAAGCCCACCCAAACCTATAAATCTTTTTTTTTTTTCCCTGTCGCCACTCTAATAAATGTTTATGGAGGTGTGAGGAGCTGGTTTACAATCTGTTGTCAGAGCTGCCGACCCCCCGTCAGGCGCGGAGCAGCACCACCTCTGCAGCGTCACTGCAGGCACAGCAGCGGGCAGCAGCGACCGCCTCGTGCTACTCATCCAAAGCACCACTTACATTGGGTTACGGCTCCTTGTTGCAAAAACTTAAAATTATAAAATAGGTAGTGATACGGTATTGTAAGTATTTTTCATAGCTCTTTTGTAATTGTTTCATATAAAATTCCTTCACTGAGAGGAAGCAACCGACACACTGCATTAACTGAACCAAAGGAAAAGCAATCTGAATGCCACGGCACTTACACCAGGCGCCAGTCGACTGCATGCAAAGGAAAATGTATTTCTGCTGAAGTGAATAGCCTTCCAGAAACAACTCTGTTGATAGCAAATTAGTTCAGCAAAACATAGATGCCAATCACCGAAAGGCCACCTAGCTCCCCGCCACACTTGCACAAATAACAAAAGAAAATAAAACATCATTATACGTGTAAGAAATCTATTTTGAGCACTCAGATAAGGTCATTTATTTTTCCATATGTTCTCCCAGATTTCATTACTACCTGCCTGCGGAATCATTTTCATAGGTTCATAAAGAGTTATATTTTCATCTCCAGGTTCTTGCCTCCTATTTATACTACAAATAATAAAGAATCATTAGGCCAAAAGTAGAGTTCATTGATAGCTGCAAAGCCCTAACACTCCTAAGCCTGCACAAATATGCAATGTTCAGATGTACCAACAGAAATCAGCAAGCAATTCTATTTACGGTAATGTTGGAGGTCTGAGGAATCACACTCATTCCAACCGGACTGGCCATGGGAACAAAAAATAGCAAATAGTTCAAGTGTGATTCCGAAGTCCCTAGAGATAGAGCTGGGGATAAGATGGTGTCACTCAGATCCCAGTAACCAAAAAAAGATTAAAAAAATTAAAGCAAATCCTCCACTGCAAATTTCCTAACCCTCTAGAGACAAAGAAACATGCAGCCTCCCTACAGAAACTAAATAGTAAATCACCATTAGATAACTAGAGAGCCCTCTATAAAGCATTGCCTAGCTGCATGATGTACGGTACACCTCTGCACATGCTTCATCTTCCTTGTGTTCAAGCAACCTTTTGAGTACAACAATAAATCCACTGAGTCCTTGTAACTATAAAGACAGGAAGGACTAATGAAGGTTTGAATAGCTCCCTCCATAGCATTACTTAACTACTAGGACTTGCAACTGAAAAAAAAATATCATTGCTGCAATTCACAAATATAATTCAGCAAGCACAGTACACGGCGATTTTCTGTTTACCTTGGCTTCCCGTGCTGGCAGAAACGCTGCCTGCATGGGTAATCACCTTCAGCAGTGAGCCAGACAAAAAGACACCTTCAACACAGCTGATTTCCAAGTAGGTTCTGAAGTGTTTAGGACACTGTTTGTATAATGTATGAAGTCTTCTCTATCGTCTTTCCACAAAATCCAAAAAGGCTTCTCCCTAACATTGATTTTCTGGGACCAAAACAGATAAGCTACAAAAACCGCGTTACGGGCCAGATTTATCTACATAATTATGTGCCTAGATTTTAAAAAACTGTAAACACAGAAAAACTGCAGAAGCTGGATGTGAGATTTTTCCAGAAATCTGATCATAAAATGGAAGCAACCCTCCTGACAGTCCAATCTCAGCTGAGTGTTTCTGAAGCTTGCCTGTGAATTCAGCCCGCTCAGCTTTTCAGCCTGTGCACACTCTCACAGCTCTCGAACGCTTTACAAGAAGAGACAATGAAGTTTTTGTTGCCAAAGTGCCTGTGTCTCTGGTCTCTCTCTGTCCCAGTGTTCAGTATCTGAGAGAAGTTAGTGGACAAATTTAAAAAAAAAAATCATTATTACTTTCCTCCCCCCCCGAGGTAAAGCAAAAAGAGCACGTTTTTTAAATGTGATCAAAAATGAAACTAATATCCCCAAAATCATCTTCAACAGATAAAAAATGCTGAATGAGCTTTTGTCCCTTACGCCTCCATAAGTAAGGAAAAAAGCTATTTTTATGGCAACATATATAGAGAGAAAACTATACATGGATTTCCAATCATACGGATCATCAAACACTAGCTGATGTGAGTTCTATTAGAGCATAGAATGATGAACGGGATGTCTTGAAAGATTTATTACTAAATGTCAAGATAAGGAAAAAAAGAAAACAAAAAAGAAAAATTTTTCTCCCACTGATTTTGAGATTACGAATGAAAAATTATGTGGTAATTTACCATACATAGTCTCATCACTGCAGAACACTGAATGCCAGGGATTACACAATTTCAGTCGACGAGGTCTTTTGAACATTTAAATCACTCTCCTATAAATCCCCAAGAATGTAAGCTGTACTCAAGAATGCAAAGAAAGGGGTTTCCTTCCCCCGTATAGTGATGAAAGAAGGAGGGTGCTTCCCCGTGTTAAGCGTGCTTGCAGGTGAGGTGTCCCCAGTTATGCGACAACTGCATAAAAGGCACAAAGCGGCCTGGAATGCAGTATTCAAAGTCAAACACAAAACCATATATAAATTACACTACTCTCTTTCATACATATATGTAACATACATACTTATATGTACTACCATAATAATAAAATACCTTAAGTCTTAAAAAATTAGCATATGCTGGAAAGCATTTTTTCCCCCCCTCGCAGAGCTGAACAGAGGATGGAGCAATTCCTTAACATTCAGAAAGAGACTGTGCTAACCTCCCTTTATTATTTGGAAGAAAAAGGAGAAAAGATAGGAGGATTTGAAGATAATGGTCTGCTGCCACAACCTAATTTGTTCTCCTTTCATAGAACAAGAACTCTTAAGCTAGGTAAATAGTGTTTTGTGGCCTACTCTTGTACTCTTGCTCCTCTGACCCAGGCCGTATGAATGTCAACTTTACTGCTCTCTAAATTTAGCTTGCCGCTCAGAGAACAGCTTTTCCTTTCTGTCTGTTTAGAAGGAATGGGTGGCTAGGCAGACTTAATGGAATTATCAGTATTCATTATCTTTTTAATCCCTTTGTCATCTGATTTTTTAAAGAGATTTTAAACGTTTATGGGAGGATAACTACACCAGGAAAGTGGCCAAGCTATTAAATGGCAGGTTCCAGAATATTTGAAAAAAAAAAAAAAAAAACCAAAAAAAAACAAACCAGATGCAGAAATATATTTCTTACTAAAGAAGATGCCAAAACCCAGTATCTCAGAAGAGCAATTTTGATCTGATTTTTTAAAGAGATTTTAAACGTTTATGGGAGGATAACTACACCAGGAAAGTGGCCAAGCTATTAAATGGCAGGTTCCAGAATATTTGAAAAAAAAAAAAAAACAAACCAAAAAAAAACAAACCAGATGCAGAAATATATTTCTTACTAAAGAAGATGCCAAAACCCAGTATCTCAGAAGAGCAATTTTGTTATGAAGAATTGCTGGACTCAATCTAAGGAAGAGGCTGTTTGATTAAAACTATCTAAAATATGTAGATAGTGCTAACATGTACATTCTTTTGTAATTTGAGTTTTATATCTCCCTTAAATAATTTCAGTATTTGTCCTTCTTTATACTGCAGTCTGAGTAATAGCTGGATGAGAATTAGAGAAAAACCAAAGGAGTCCCTAGCCAGAGATGCCATTTATCATTCTACAGCTGTGTTGATGTCTTCACCTTACATTTTTTCATTTTCATATTAAAAAAAATAAAATCAATCTTAACTCAGGTGACTGCCCTAGGAATGACTTGCAGGAGATGCAAATGCTGAGTGCTCCTACAATGTGTTTGGAATTAAAAGATACAAACCATTATTCCCACTCAGAGTGAATGTGTAGTAGGTCTGCCTTACCTCATTTATGGCTTGACAAGGGCCAATAGGTGCTGCTGTCTCACACATTCATGGAGTTTTGAACAGGTATAAAGCAATATGTATATAGGTAGCAAATGTAGAGACAAAGACCCCAAGCTATCAAGCCTAACAGGTCATACTTTGCTGTCAGTTAAGAACAGGTCTGAACATCTTCTCATGCGAGACCTCCCTTTACTTTGAATAAATTATAAAAATATTGTTTTATTATAAAAATATTATTTTATTATAAAAATATTATTTTAAAATACCTTTAACACTTTTGCTAAAGTCTGTCAGGCTCAGTGAGGGGACATCTGGGGCCCAGAGGAGCCTGAACATCTTTCATTACAAGCCAGGATTCCCAGTTACAACTTATTTCAGCTTTTATTTGCTAGAACACCCCATTTACAGCCTGGTGAAAGCTGTTCCACCCACAAGAGCCTCACCTGTACACAACAGCAGGGATACGCTTCCAGGACCGAAAGCTTGCCACGCTCTCTAGCTCTTTATCCGTGATCCAGGCGGGAACGATGATTTCCTGGGGGTAACTACCACAGAGCCTGCGAGAAAAGCGGTGCAAAGGGTTGAACGAAAGCGATACAGAGCAGTTACACACTTTCCATACAACACACACAAATAAGCAGTATAAGCAACGTGACAGCTGTTCATCTCAGCAAACTGCCATTTTGTTGATTCCTGTTTCATTGCACGTTAATAAACTCTTCCTTTGCATATACAAAAAGCACTGTGAACATCGAGGTGCATAAATGCATTTCAGAATTAGAAGATTCAAGCTGGTGTTTTCTTGAGAAATGCACATGTAGGTGATTTTTAACTCCAGCTGCTGAAATAAACTGGACTACAGAAAAGAAATTCTACGTCTCTCCATGCTAAAGAATTAGCCACTCGCTTTCTGGGTCACAAAACACAGAACCACAGCCACACTGGGCTACTGGATTCAAGACAGAAAACTTGTCTAAGTGTGGAAAAAGTACATTGCCAAATCAACCCTTGCTGAAGGCAGGAATCTGAGTGCGCTGGCTTATCCTTGACTGGCTAACTGGACCTTTCTTCTACTAGATGCACCTCTTACTCCACAATTTAACTAATAAAGCCATGACTGCCAATGAGAACCGCGCAAGCAGGCAGTAGCGCCTGCAATATATTGCTGAATCATAAACTAGTTCATCCCCAGTCCATCCCCTTGAAGAGATTCACTTACTGCACAAGAAGGACAGACATGAACACGTGTCTAAGGTTGTTCTACTCAGAAAAATATATCCATCAGCCTGAAAAAACGCTCTTTTCTCAAGTGCTGGCCACAAGAAGGAAAGGAGTAGTTTGTGTCATTCTGCGTCCACATGACATAGAAAGTTTTTTCCTTTTTCTTTAGTATCAAATACGTAAGGGATAGCTATTTTTTCTTCCCTAGATTTTTAGAGACCAAGACAGATTCTTCTTGCAGTGACACCAACTACCAGCTGCAAGTCATTATCCTGCAAAGACAGAGCAATGAAACACATCTCATCACAAAGTGTTGCTGCTGGTTTTGCTCTGAATTGCATTAGGGCTCAGCCAGCACGCTCTGTCCAACCTACCGTGAATGCAGGAACGCCTTTCTCTGCTCCGGCAGCTAGAGAAGAGGACATTTGTCTATGCTTTCAGGACCACAGAAAGTGTTTTTTCTTATTTTCAGGATCTACAAGCCTAACTCTTCCAAAACCAACTTTCGTTCTTTAATACAAGTCTTTGTCATAAGTTAGAGAATAAGACACAATAAAAAAAAAAAAAGTTTTTTTAAAAGTTCAGTCAAACTCCACTCTTTGCTCACTTAAGGCTCCCCTTTCTTCCATTAGAATGCTTATCCTCTAAGAAGTTCTCCAGCAAGCACATCAAAATCTGGTATTTCTAAGTCTACAAAAATTGTAGCAGCTAATAAAAAACTAAATAATACTCTAAAAGCGCATTTTTTTCTATAGAACAACAAAAAAAATTGTAATTTTAATTGTCCCTTGTTAGGAACTGTAGAACTTGGAAAAAGTTCCAGTAATCTGCTATAACAAAATTGGTGTTTTGAGATGCCATTTGGCTGTGAATCAGCAGCCCACATAACTTACTTGTACTTCTCATTGATGTTGGAAATCCTCCAGGCATTGTTCATATCAAACCCCATCCGCTCCACTTCATTTTTAAACCTTGAAGTTACATGTTCTCCTGGGTATCAAAAGCAGAGAGAGAAAATAAATGTGAAATAAGAAGTAAGGTTCCTACTTTTCAAAATAGTTAGAGAAAAACACCATTGCACTCATACTTCAAAATTGAAAAGAGAAAGGAACAGTCCAAAAACACCATCTGTATTTCACAACCCTAGTTTGAAAATCCGTATCAGGAGAACCACAGTTTGTACTGATGGCTCTCCCTGCTCAACTCTCCAGAAATGTCAAAGTCCACCAAGGACTTTTTCTCTGAAACAACCAGCTTCTGTAAATTCATGTAAGAAACAATAACGCTGCAGACCAGAACCAAGCGCACCAGCAAAAGCAATTTAGATCCATCAGCAGTCTTAGTGGGAAAACGCTAATAGTTTTTCTTTTCTGAAGTTCATAAGGATTTTATATCAATGAGAAGAATGTGCTCTGGTCTGACTGATACGTGAAGGGGTAATACATGGAATGCCGTCTAGAACTTGGGCACTCTCCATTTAGTATGCAATTTCAGCCACAGGTTTCCTGTGTGACTGTAGGCAAGCCCTGTAATTTAACCTGCATCTCAGTTTTCCATCTGTAAACTGGACGTTATTCCTCCATGAGTCATGCGGAGATATGAAGATAAAATGCATAAATGATTGTTGGACACAAATATCAGTCACAAGACCCTCACAAATTCCTGGATTAATATATTAAAGGAACTGGAACGAGCTCCATTTATTTCCTAGACACTTCTTTAAAAGTATCAAAATACAATTGAAAAATACACAATGGCAATAAAGAATTATTTGATAGACAGAAAGTCTAGAGAATTAGAAGGTACTCAATCAACGTGTAGAAGAGAATAACGTACAAAATTTCCAGGTTCACAGAGCTAAAGAATGTTATAAATTTAACGAGCATGTGAGCAACACTAGATAAAATGATTCTGAAAGGCTGTCCATTGCTTGTCTCTTTAAACTACTGTTATCATTAAATCATGAGGCAGAGCATCACCCGACAGGGAAAAAAAAAATCTGTTGAAAAATTAATGCTTTAACTATTACATCTTTCCATTATATGTTTCAGAAAACAAATTTTTATGTGACTTACAGAACAATTGAAGAAAAATATAGAGAAATAGGTAAACTAAGAATAAAAATAGCAGCCTAACTACAGGACTTAATTAGCTGCGAAAGAAAAGATATAATGTTATTCATGCCTACAGGTCAGATCATACACTGAAAATGGTGCATCTACACGTGCTTTACAATACGGACAATGTGCAAGAGATCTGCATAATGAGATTATTTTTCTTATGCTTTTTGAAAGGTAAAACATGAGAATGCCATTGTGTGCAAAGGGAGAATATTCACTCTTCAAGGCACATGGCAGTAAAATCTATGGACCTGACTGACCTTCATCACTTATTCCTTTTACATCATGTCACTGGTACAACAGTACCATAAAAAAGAAATAGTTCTGTCTCCTGCGTCGTGCCTTTTCTGCAGAAGGCTAGTCTCAGTACCACACAGACGCTGCAGTTCTGCTCTACCTTCCCTATCATCAGATCAGTTAGGCTGGAGCTTGCCAACAATCTCCCGCTTCTCACGTGAACTCTGTGTGAGCTTGAATTTATTATCTTTTAGCCACCTACTCAAATAGGCCAGCTGCTTGAGCCCCTGTTTTACAAAAACTGGATGGCTCCATCCGGAGATGGCAGCTCTGTGAGGAGCCCTTTGATCCTTTGTCAAGTGCAGAGCTGAAACTGGGACAATACATTCCAGCCAGACAACAACCTCTGTCATGTTCTTCTTTAGCTTCTTTTAAAAAAACAAAACAAAACAAACAAAAAACCCAATCAAACCCTTTTACTGGAACAGCAGGATGCTCTTGCAGCACTGAGAACGGCCTTCATTATCAGCTGTTTTGAGGAATGGTCATTAAAACCTGCAATACATCCTTAAGGGTTTTTCTGGAGAGTAAATGACAATACCGGAAATATCCCCAGTCATCGATGCTGCATACTGCTAGTGGGTTTTAAGAGAAACACATAAAACTACATGAAAATGAAATATTCTGTTTGATTTCTCTCAATTTTTCAGCTACTGTGCGTGTCATGAAATCATAGATTTTCCTCTGAGAAACGAAACCCTAGCCTTAACATTTTGTCCATTCCTCCTGAAACGCTGGTATTTTAAAAAGCATTTTGAGCCAAGATGGATAATATTTTCAAAGCACCCCAATCAATTCTCAAAATCAGAGAAAAAGCAAGCTATACATTTTGTGGACTTGTGCCTTCTGACTGAAAGCTGATCTTGTGAGCCACAGTTCATATCTCCCATTACATACACTGATAAACAACTTAGTTTGTTTTTTTTTTTCCCCAGAAGCTGATAGTTAGATTTTGGGAAAAGACCTGAGTTTAAAATTCTGCTCTGAGGATATTTTTGCCTTTTTTCAGTAACTGCTAACATAAAGTGTGTGAAGTGCAGGCACGGGAATCAGAACCAAGGAGCACCTCCTCCCACTTGCGTGCCACCTGCTGACTGCTCTTCCTCAGGCACCAAAGAGATTACAGTCTTTGCTCAGCCCCAGACCAGCTTCAGTAATAAGGAGAGAATCACACTAACATTCCTCAAACTGGTAACTGGGACACTTTTCTCAGATGTGTGAACTGTGAGCAAAGAGAGCCTCAGATCGGCGAGGGCCTGGAACCCAGATTTCCTTATATTCAAACAAGTGCTATAACCACCAGCATCCCAATTTTTAGCTTTTATTTACTTGTGGGCTTCTACAACTTTCCAGCAAGGATGACATTTCACTAAAGTAGGTCGCTGTCTTGCAGCTGTGAATGAACCTCAGGAGCAGCTCAGGGACTTCCTTCTCCTTCACCTCCTGCTCCTCAACATCCATGTTGAAGACCACTGTTCTAGGCAATTACAAAAAATGTGGGCACAATCAATACAAAATGGTTTAGATTGAAAGTTACTGCCATGGTGAACAAAACGTTATTAGTATTACATACGACTGACTAAATCAAATCCACCATAATAATTTCCTCAGGATATGCAGGTACTGCTTTGCATATTGATCCCAAAGTAACTATGGTGGGAGCTCATCTCTCCTTTGTTCAGACAGGACAAAACTCAGACTGTGCGGCAGACATGCAAGACATTAAAGGACACCTCGCTGTAACTGAAGGTGTACTACGCCTATATAATTACCACATACAGTGAATTCACGAGGTAGTGAAGAAGTGCAAGAACTTATGTACAAAAAAAAAAAATCCATACTGGAATCTTGCAGGCTCAGTTTAACACCACAGACTGAATTTGTTTGTAACTTTTTTGAAAGTCTGGGTCTCAGCAAACAGGCAGTTACTAGTCCATGCATTTGTGATGATCCCCAAAGTGTTTCCGCATACCTGGCCGACACAAATCCCCGTGCTGTTCCTTTTCGCTAGCATATACCTCCATACACCAAGCGTGATAGGCAAACGAGAAAAGGTCTTCTATCTTCGAAGGAGGGCGGATGGCATTGTTCAGTCGCTTAAGCCAGTCTTGACACTGCTCAAAAGTAGAAAACTGACACCTGTCCCAGAAACAAACATTTATCTATTAATTTTCAGTAAAAGATGCCAGACTATAAGATCTGACAGGCTGACTATGAAAACATCTGTGAAAGCAAAAAGTAAATACAAACATCTTATTGATAACTTAGTTCTGCTGTGTACATGAAACCTTTGGATACTAGTGAAGACATACACACTTAGGAAGTCAAAACAAACTGTAAGCAGGAAAGCAATGTTCTGTGATTGTGAATAAACCAGCGGTATGTCCTACGAATCGTGAATGAAGGAGATGCTTATGTACACGTTTACTCTAAAACCAAGGACAATGTCACTGAGTTCAGTCTGCAGCTTTCACACAACCAAAGGCAGGAACGCGTCCTGCTGACTGGTGGTCTCAGAGGGGAAACTCACAAAACCATCACGTACATTATAATCTACGCATCTTATTCCCGTAAACAAGAACACGTTTTTCATCAGACATAGGAGAAACATCCATTTGATTAATATACTTAATTTGCAAATAATGTGGACAAACTCCAGTATCTGAAATCTTATGTTATTCCCCTATCTCATATGCTAAGATTCTCTTTCTGGCCTTGGTGGGAAGCACAAACAACGTTTTTGAAACTGAGCTTTGCCTAACATTACAGGCTAAGAACAACAACTAGCGAGAGTATTCGCTGCACAGGAGAAACTAATCTTCAAAGCAGTATATTAAAATCACATTAGCTTGTCTTTTCAAAGAGGATTCCTGGACCCTTTAGAATAAAAAGGTGGAAATAGGATCAGTGATTTATTTTGCTCTGACAGATTTCTTCAAGATTTTGTAGTTATAAAATATTCACCAAGTATTTACGTTCAGCTCAGTCTGCGTTCTACTGCATTCATGGTTAATGATAGCATCTGTATTCTCAAAGGGCAGGATTTATTACCTCTACCTGCAAATACCTAAAAGTCAGTCAGTGGAAGGAAAAAGATATGTCCAACTCATGAAACATGTCTAAATAGCTGCGAGGAACTGCAGCCTGGAGGTGTTTATTTCCCATCACTGACTATAAAGCAAGCTGAGACTACTACCTTAGACTGGGTAATTCTCTTTTAAATATCCACAGTCAGACAAGATACATCTCACCCCAAAGAACCCTAAATTTCTTTCTAAATTCTTTTAAAGTTAGCATTGCAAATAACAAGTACTATCTTCACTTGAGTCCTATTATTCAAAACACAAACTAATTTGTTTATGAAAAAGAACACGACCATGATCTAAATCTGCTATCTCGGCCCCATACTTCATCATCTTCCAATGGCCAGTGTCACCAGTACTGATTCTTGGAGATGCAGTTTTGAAGGGAGATTCATAAGGAAGGGCATAAACACAAATAATTTGTATTCATTCTACAATTGATGAGAAATAACAAATTAATGTAGAGAGGAAGGGTGACTTTTTTAAATGTCAAGAGCTACAAGTTAAGAGGAAGTTAAATATTTAATTCAAATTAAACTAAATATTACTTCTAAAGTAAAATCAGTCCTCATCAAAATACAGCATTTCAGGAAGCAGCTGGCCTGTTAAACACTCTGAGTGCTCAGATATGACTGGGGCTCATTTCATTATACAAAAGGTACTGCCAGCAAACATTTAATCAAAAAGAAATGTTCCTTTCTTGTTAATTAAAGTTTATAGATCAAAATTAATTTCTGCAGCAGAAAAGTAGGAAATAGCTGTGGCTCAGGCTCAGTAGCTCAGAGGCTCCTGGGGCAGACTCTGAAGTCTGCTGAAGGACAGACAGAAATAAATACTCCCTTTTACATGATGCTGTCTGCTTTACTGGGTTACAGAGCGGGCTGCAGACCTGGCTTTACCTTATTCCCTCACTTTCCTTTCCAATAGGCTACTATGTCTTAAGGATAGCAGCTGTACCCCCACAGCTGTTAAAAATGCAGGGGGGCTGACGCTATCCAGACTGAAGGTTTGTAGTACTGCCCAAGCCCATTCCTTAACCCTCCAACCCCCAAATCTTCATTAAACACTTCTCCCAGTAGTACGTGTTTCAGTGGGTTTATCTAGTTCTGTACCTTGTAACTAATTGAAGCAATACATTAAAACTGATTGTAAGGCAGGGAAAACACAGACTAAAATTAATTTCAGAATAAAATCAAGATCAGCCACATAGGCTCAGACCAAGGTTTGCTGCTATACTGTATCATAGCAAGCAAAAACACAGACCATCTTGCTCCCATCCTCTTTACAAAAAATGTCCAGCTACCATACGCAGAATCAGACAAAAGAAAATCTTTTGAGGGAAAGCAAGTCCACTAAGTAAGAAAAAACATTTCCTTAAAACATCACAGCTGTCCACAGCATGTGGAAAGCAAAGTTACCCCCCATTCAACATTCAGCCTGTTCATACCTTATAACCTTGCAGTCTTTGCAAGTCAAATGAAGTTGAAATATGTCACGGCACTCCACACTTTCTATAAGCTGCAACGGAACCTGCAATTAAAAAGATTATATAATTTTATTTCAAACAGCACTAACGCTGTAATTTCTTTGCGGATCTCACAAAGATTTCTTATAGGACTATGTGGAGTCTGAAAAGAGAGAGGAAAACAAAGAAAACTAAGCATAACTACTTCAACAGCTCTGAAGTATGGTACCATATATCCATAGTTTCAGGTCCATTGCTGTACAGTCCAAAAACCTTTAGGGATCACATGAAAACAGCTAAGACGACTGCAGCACTGGTGACAAATGTGAAGGCAGGAAAAGCAGGAGAAACCCACAAACTCCTCTCTCGTGGAAGCATCTTTCTCTCTTATAGGTCCAAATTTAGGGATCTTGGGAATATAATTTTAGCTGTTGGTGAAAAAATGAACTGCTAAGCAAGATCCCCTTTAACACGCTGCTGCAGTGTAGATGCTTGTTATACAGAAATATCCCATCTTTCCTCTTCAGGAAGAAACCATTTGGCCTGTTTAGATCAACACCCGTGATCAAAGCAGCCATACTTAGAGTAATAATGCTGAATCATTCATTTTTAAAGGTGTAGCTACATGCACTTATGTTTTATGGCACATGTAACTAGCAGAACCTTGATCAGGCAAAACACATAAACATATGCAAGTACCTTTAAAGATAAGAAGAAACAACAAGATGAAAATATTAGTTTTCATTAGCATTTTTGGACTTTTACCTGAGACAGGCAAATGTACATTATTGTCTTAAATAAAAGTTAGTATTCAACTATCTCATACATAACTGTCTAAATTCCAAACACAAATTTAGCTAATACCTATAATAAACACAAAGTGTAAAACTGTTTGAATTGTTTATTAGATTATATTGAACATTACACAAGGCAACACCACCTCTGCCATCAAGATCCTTCAATACAAAGGCTATCGGAGAAACACCCAAATACTCTGTTTATTCTCTGCCATCAGAGGAGTAGGATCCAGCAGTTTAAGTTCTGGCTTGGGGCTTACAAGATGTGGCTGTAAGACCCTGCTCTGCCGGTGCCTTTCCACGGGACTCTGGGCAAGTCCTCGAAGGTCACCTCCAATCAAGAATCTGGGGTGAGGAATCGATACAGCTTCTACTCAGGCACCACAAAGCTTAAACAGTACCTGATTTCACTGGAATGAAAAAAGGAAATGGAAGTAAAAACAGTAAGTAAGGGAAAGAGATGGTTCAGAAATTTCAGAAATACGAACCACAAGAAAACATACTCTGAGTGTGAAGATGCCTAGAGAAAGCTCATGCATGGTAAATGCTGTGCCCAGGAGAGTGATCGCAACTCTCGCGTCTCTTGGGAAGGCAGGCACACAGCTCACAGCTGCACCTCAAAAGCTGCCAACTCAAAAGTCAGAGTCCAGAGTCCTCTTCCAAATGCAAAAGCTCAAATAACTGCCCAGAGCTCACCATCCCCAAGATACAACAGGCAGGTATTGTCTTAATACCCAACCTTTATCCTTGCCCTTGTCAAGAGCACAACCAAGAAGCAGCGCTGGACTCTGCTTAGCTGGAGGAAGTACTAACCCTCCTCTCCCATGCCAAGCAAGGCTGGTCCAGCTGAGTTATTCTTTGTTCCTTTCGTTGTAACTAGGCCATTAAAAAAAAACAGAAAATTCATGTACGAGGAGACTAGACAAGATGGTGTCTGACTCCACAGCCCAGGAGTTTGGGTATTCAAATAAAGCTGGAACTTGAATTTTGGTCCATGTTTTCAGTATTATTACTGTTTTAAGATCCATGATAGTCTAATATAAATTACACAACTAGCAACGTGAAGGAGCACATGAAATCAGGATTCCCTTCTGTGAGATAAGCCCGTCCTCTATTTGCCATCCTTAAGCTCAAACTGCAGAGTCACCTGCAGAGAACAAGCACAGTGAAGATGCTGACAGACTTAGGTACCAACGTAACAGAGTATTTAAATGCATTACAGATACGATCAGATGTACTGTTCCTATAGTTAATCTTTTGATTTTAACTGCTAATTTCTTCCACGCCTTCTCCTACTTGATTCTAGTCTGCAGGGTAGATAAATTGTTGTGATAGTTTTGTCTAATAAATTAAGGGACTGGAACAGACCTCAGACTGGAGAATCTTCCATCCTTTCTTCCCCACTGGACAGCCTCACATACACCAAATAAATTATTTAAATCTACCATTGACTTACATGGCACCAACATGGAAAGTAAGGTACCTTTCCCCAACTAAACCAGTTAAGACTCCAGAAGACTTGCTTTTTTTAGTCAAATGCTGCTTTGTCTGTTCATATTCTTTTTTTTTTCCCCAAGCCCTCTTTTATTGCATTTTTTCCCATGTCCATCTTAATTTTAAGCAGTTCTTCACCTTGCTCCCTTCTTCTAGCAGTCTGGTTCTGGCTCCTCTTCCTCCTGTCTGCACTCTAATGACATACTAAGTATTCTTCTGCTCCTGCATTATTTTTAATTTCCTTCTTTCAAAGTCACTCTTTGTTCTATGCCCTTTCAATTTGCCCTCTGCTCGACAGCCATTCTTTTTTCTCTTGACAGTCTACATGCAGCTCACCATCTATTTCCTTAGAATCTCCCGGGTTTTCTTCAGGGCAACCTTCATATCAATCTTTTCAATTTTCTTTTCCGGTCATAAAAATCTGTCCTCTGATCCTCTTGCCTTTTCAATCTCCTTCCTGTCCATTATTCTTCTTCCAGTAAAAGTCTGTAAAATTATCTGCCTTCACTCCTTGTTCTTTCCCACTGATAACCTTCCATTTTCATCGTTATGTTTTTCAGGCTGATGCAGGCAGCAAGTCAGACACCCAGTGCAGTCAGCTTGCTCTTGAAAGAGCCATCAATTCTATTTGCAGGCGCTTCACCATATAACAATGGCTATGGAAATAAAGCAGTGGAGAAGCAATCATTTCTGCTTTTATAAGAATAAACACGCATTGTTATCCAAGGCCTATCATACTGCATTATAGAGAGTACTAGCGCATCGTGCTCGTGCAGTATCTGTCTCTTGACTGTCTCTTCTTTAAAATTATCTTATTTTAAACAATAGCAACATTCTACAACTCAAACTTTTCTTTTTGAAAAATTTTTTTAAAAATTATTTTAATTACTGGAACTGTCTGTTATCTAACAGCAGTGCAAGATATATTTAGAGAAATAAACCTCTGTCATTAGAAAAAGCACCAAGTTATGTTTACACGGCTGAAACAACCCACCCATGGCTCAATCCTGGACCACAACGCCAAGTGGTACGCAGCGGACCACGGGCAGGCTGCTGTAAGCCAGCCCCTTCACGAGTGACTATGCTATATATTCTACCCTGTTTACCATTTGGCCCAAGTCTCTCCATGATACCACATGGCACCCAGGGGCCATGAGCCGTAATTAGTACTTTCTTCTTGTTTTCCCAGTTCAGAGCCTGAAATAATGTCAGGGTTACGTTACAGACTGGTTACTTGAAACAGCACGAGACCAAGGCTAAGTGCTGTGTGTCCTGAAGCACGATATGATAGGACATTCGGAGGAACTGAGGATGCAAGGTCACCTCAGAAGGTCTTCAAGGACTCTCTTAGGTGGAAGGAGCTGAATCCCCCCAGGTGTGATCTTGTTCATATAACCTACAAGGAGTACCTGAAGGAAATCTCGCTTTTAATTACAACTAATTACACTTAGGTTTTGTCTCGAAGGCAATCATTTAGTTCCCCCTCTGCTTTCACAATTAGCATGCTTGCAATGTGAACAATTTGAGCATCAGGACCTGAGAATGAGACAAGGACTAAGCCACTGTTCAGCACAGAGGAATCACAACTGTGCTACGTACGTAAGGAAGATTCCAAACCAACCATTTTTCCACTAAAGGCCAAGCAAGAGAAAGTTCATACTAAAACTCATTTAATCACCAAGGCTGAAAGTCTCCCTCATCTTGCCAGCATGACTTCTTTTTTTTTTTTTTTTTTTTTTACTACATTCAAAATCTACTCTTTGAAAGAGGCTACATACAAGTCCATGGTTTCATAAACCACGCTAAAATTTTAATTCTGTCATGAATGCAATTAGCTTACAGGGAGAAAAATGATTCGACAGAAACACTCACCAGCTGCGAAGTTTGACATTTTCTTAAGGAAAGCCAATCAGCAGAGATCAGCCTGCGAACCAAACTTCCCATGTGCACTGAGAGATCACTGTTGAGTCTGTGTTTTTATCCCATGGATAAATGTAAGTCAACACTTTTGAATGTCATAATCCCTCCAATTTATGCATGGTCTACTGCATCTTTTGTTTTTGCATTTAAAACACCACGTTCCTATTACTACTGTGATCTAGGAAATTATCCATGGAAAAGATTTACGCATACAGCCATTTTCTGCAGTGTTGCACTGTGAGCATTATCAACTTTTAAATGTATTTATTTCCAAGCACAGGTGCAGCAAGTGATCCAGCAGCACTGTGCCACTTACTGGGGTTTCACAAGCATCATTTTGACAGCCAGTCTATTGAATTGTAAACAAAAAGAGAACAGTGAGGTAAAGAAAACAAAGACCAGGAATCCATTTTTAACTGGATTCCATTTCCTTCACGCAGTTACTTTTACTAAGGGGCAAGTAGTTGACATGCACACTGCTTTCTCTGGAGGACCATTTCTACCATGAGAATATCCCGCCTACTTCAAGAGGAGATGCCAGCATAGAACTGCTGCACATTCAGGCACGGGCAATCAATTCATTTTACAAGTACTATAATACAGATATTTGCTAAGAATCCTCTTTCTTACACAGAAGTACTTCTCTCCGCTGAGGTGACAAGGTCTTTGGTGTGGCTGGACTTAGTCAGGATAGTGATTCTTATAAAAATCGTTCAAAATAATAAAAAAAAACCCCTCCTAACATTAGTAAAGATCTATACATTTTTAAAAAGGTCTTCTTACAGGTGTTTTCTGAACAGCTCTAGCAATATAAAAACAGTAGGAAAGAATAAAGATGAACTCAATGAAAAATTACTCTGTGAAGATTTAATTTACAGAATCACCATCTGATGAATAATTCTGATCAACAATAACCGAAGTGATTATTACTCCAAAATGTAACAATTTAAATATGGTTCCTAATTATTGTAAGTATGTTTTATCCTTAAAGATACTCCAAATCCTGTCTGCCCTGGATTCCAGTAGAGTTCATACTATGTTATTAGTGATGGTCATACACGGTTACAGAAGAATAATCTATATTCTGCTCTACCTCATACACTATCTAATTGAATCTTTCTGGTTAATGATGACATATGAAGTAGGACTAACAACCTTGGAGATATCAGAGAGAGTGAGAGGACAGAATACTGGATATGAAAGTCAGGGAAGCAAAATTAACATGGTAATAGTGACAAACTTTTATGGACTCTTTCCTGAACACAAAGAAAGAATATTATTTAAGAAAACATCAATTTTTGTTACTGCTCAAAAATATTAAATTGAAAATTCTTAAAAATTAATACCCCCAATTATCCTAAGGACAGATAATGACAGTAAGTGCAGTACATGCATTAGCGGCTTCTCTCAAAGTAACTCTATCATTTCCTGGCACTCCTCAGGACAAACTCTTGATTTCTAGGACTACTGTTGTTTCTCACATCTCAGCTCCTTGTTTTTAAATATTCAGTCCTTTGCTTTGTCAATTCTAGTTGCCAATTTCATACAACATTCAGACTCTGAAATAAAAAAATCTAACAGTAAGTAATACAATATAGATTTATTGTATCAGCCCCCTTGGCAGAATTCAGCCCTAGAATTCATGTTTGTATCACAAAGCAGCACAGGAATCCTATAAAACACATGCCTCGTAAGGCGTCTTCTCTCTGTTGCCAGCAGCATGTGGAGATGCCGCTGCCTGGACTGCACGTGAGGCATCCCAGCACCTAGCTGACCCTTGGCTACCATTCCGATGCACGGTGCGCTTACAGCTTAACTTTAAAGTCTGAAGTTATACTTCAGGATTGACTACAGAATAAGAAAAGTGAAAAGCAAAGTTATGATACCTCTGCATATGCACATATTTGTATCATCTCCTTTGTACCGTCAGCAGTGCAAGATAATAGCCCTTAGATTTCCAATTAAATTTTTGTCATCGTTTCGAGTAATTGCCCCATTCAGAAATAATACCTTTATTTGCTGGAAAACCCCACGGCATCATGAATGTTAGCACTTTAATGCTGTACACAGATGTTCACCAGCCTAGCAGACACAACTATCCAGCCTACCACATTGACAACTCATGAACTAAAATAGCACAAAGTGATTAATGATAACTATGACACAGGCACATTTCAAAGTCTGTAGATAACATAGCTATACTATTAGAGACAACATAAACCAGTAAAGATTGAGTTTCAGTTAGTAAACAACATTTTTACAGAGTTAATAATTCAGTTCTGGCACAAAACAATAAAAAAACAATTTAAATTTAAGATTGACATGGCATCAAAAATTAAATTGTTTAGCCGCACAGGAGATCTCGCTGATGTTCCAGACCACTGTGTCACATCTGTCTCAGTCATGTATGTGTTGGACGCTTGTCAATTCTTACATTTTGTTTCCCTTGCTTTTCTCAGCTTTGCAACAACACGCAGTTTTGGTGTTTTACACTTAACTCACCACCGCATAGTTCAGGATCTGCGACTGACACATGGCAATTGTGAACAACTAGCCAGGGTCAGGACTTGTCTTGAAATAAGGAGATTGGTAAAAAACCTATCATCGGGCAAAAAAAAAAAAAAAAAGCTTTGATTCTTTGGATTTTGTTTTACTGGTTTTATTACAAATATCCACAAAAATATTTTTGTGCCATGTATAATGTCCTATCAAATTCTACATAGTTCACAAACGGTACTACAACTAGTAAGACTAGTATATGTCAGCATTATACTGCTGCAAAGGGCTATACAGTGCCCATTTAATTTATGTGTATAATCATGAGTAGCTGGATGTGTAACAATTTTTAAGAATGGATACTTAGCGTAAAGCTCTTTAAAGAAATGAACAGGCATCTGAAGATGAGGTCCAATTCACAGATCTCTTACGTCAATGACTGTACTCATACTACCCAACTTCAAGCATGTAATTTCAGTAGCTGGACCTACTTCCACCTTTTGAAGCTCCAAGCAAGGCACAAATCTAACTTAGGTGCTCCAAACAGCCCTTTGGAAGGCCTTTTATTTCTCTAGTGAGTATATACAGAACTTAGGGAGAACAAGTGACTGACATAGCCAGCTGTAAAGAGAACGAAGTTGAGTGATGTCAAGTTTCCTTATGAAGTCTGATTTTCAGAGGTGCTGAGTCATCTTTTGATGCTTAACTATGTATCTGTTCTCCCTGAAAAATGTGATTTGAACATCATAAAAAGATTTTTCATTACCACTAACCTTAAAAGGCAGGATCACCGTACTTTTAGCCTAAATTCTCTTATTTGGATTGAGTTCAGAATACCTCTATTACCATAGTAGCATGAATAACACTTACATTCACAACAGACTCCTTGAACTTGATGTGAAGCCTGTAATTAGAAAGTGCAATGATGGCATCCTCTGCTCGTCCTACATACTCCGTACTCTCACCATGAAGTTCAATGAATGGGACCTTCAGAATGGGAAGAAAAACCTTTCAGAAACAATTTACCAAGAATATGTACCTCCTGTAAGCATACACTCAAGCACCCAACATCACAAAGTCAAAATGAAACACTGCTGAGAATTCAGCCTAGCTATTACTGCTAAGAAGGAAAGTCTTGGGTAAGGTTGGTTCAGAGGTTAATTGTAGCCTTTTTTTAAAATGATTCCTCATTTTCTCTTTAATTTTCCTGAGTAGTAAGGGCTTGGTCAGGGAAAACAATGAACTTTTAAGAAAAATCTGAGCAAAATATCCTCACGTTTTGGCAGTCTGACCAACCCTTTGATTTATGCTCTCACTCCTTACTTAATGGAGAGTGGCATTTCCATAATGTCATTAAATTCATCCTAAAGTAGGAAAAACAAAGATGAATACTAGGGACCAACATTCACTAAGCAAGCTCGGGTAACCAGCTTAGACTGGATACCTAAATGCTACACAGCTGAAGTCAGTTGGACAAATCATACTTTTTGCTTCCTATATCTCACTGCAAATGTGAAAATGCATGACATGCTGCTGTTTTATAAAGTTAGAAAACCTGCAGTCGTATTACACTGCACATAGAAATTGCAATTGTTTAATTAAAAATGTGACTTAAGCCCACTTTAGCTGAGGTGGGTGAAAAGTGTAAATGCTCAACTTGAAAATAATCTGGCTTCACACCAACTCAGCTTAAATCAATTAAAAAAATTTTCTATTAAAATGAAACAAAGTACCTCTTCAGTCGATATAATAGCGTCTGCATGGATAAATCATTTGAAATAATTTGATTTCAAAAAGAACTTTGGAAAATTAAGAAACCAAAAAAATATCCATTTTGCGCAACATAAGACTTTTGGCTTCTCAGTAACAAGAAGTAATGGTAGTATTTAACTAGCTTAGTGTTATTTAAAAAAAACCAACAGAGTTCTAAACTATGGAATAAAACCTAGCACTTGAAATTACTACACAAGTAATGGCTATATTTTTTTGGACACTCTAAGGAATCTCTTGTAATATAATGCACAACTTCTCTGTCCTACCAACAGTACATGAGTATTTAAAAAGAAAGCGTGTTTCTCCTATTACTGTGCTCAATTGGGAATGAAAATTCTATGGGAGAGGCCAGAGAATACAGAGGTCAACTAGAGATATTGTGATCTTAACTGGCAAGGAGCAGTGTAGTGATTACCTGAAGGTTCTCATCCTCTCGGATCAGCTGCTTCCTGGGAAAAATCTGATTAGCCTGGATGCATTCAAGGCTGTGCTGAGTCTCTTCATCCTGAGAAACAAAGCCTTACAGTTAACTTCAGCACGGTCACCTGCTGCCACCTTCACCACATAGCAAGCTATCAATGACCAATGAAAAGCTCAAACAGGATGAAGTGTTTAGAGAACTCAGGTACCAGTAACTTGCTAAAGTTACTAAGCTTTCAAAGGCAAGCACTCTAACAACTAAATATGATATTAGAAACAGATTTCCTTCCTGCAGCCTGATTAATAAAGTCATAAAAAAGACTTGCAATAATAATAGGAAAAAAGCATTAGCCTAGCCTAGTCTAGAACTACACTTAAAATTCAACAACCCCACATGGAAACATTAATGCTCTAATGTTTTTCAGATTTTAGCCTATTCTGCTTTGTAACAGGCCCTACAAACCCCTTTTGCTTACCATGACAGGCCCTGGATAGGAGGAGAAATCCTCGTCTTTACTCACAATACTTTGAGCCTCTTCTTCACTTATTGTTAAAATCTAGAAAACGAGAAAAGTATAACAATGAAGTTAAATTCATTTTCGTTTGGCAAATAAATACAAATTAACTTTTAAAGACTGAGAATTCAGCTGTTAGAAAACTGCAAGCAAACAGTAATTATGAAAAGATGAAATCCATATAAACTAACTCTCCTGAGAGACACAATTGTTTCAAAATGTGTCTGGCTCCTTCTGTTCATTCTGAAAAATCATCTTTCAATGCACTGCTGAGAGAATACCCATCTGAATGCAGCAATTAGACCACTGTTTATATAATTCAAATCAAAGCATGTTCATCTTTCTCGATCACCCTGAACTTCCTCCCAAGTCATTTGCAGATGGTGATTCACAAATACGTAGGTTATAAAACCAAAGGGATCGTTGTGATCGGACTGATCTGTGATGTAACACAGGTTGTCAGATCCTCCTGAAGTAATCTTATTTCAGCTATGACATATGAATTACAATTTATATACAGATAAAATTCCTCATTTTATAGTTCATAGACCCATTTTCTACATCCACGGGCATATCAAAATATCCATTTTCTTACATCGACCTTTCCAAGAGCTCCACATCACTCTACACTAGCGACTTGCTCTCTCCATTATCCCCTGATATTTTATCAACAAATTTTCTGGAAATATTAAAGAGCATACAGTCTTGAAATTTATGCAGTTGACCCTATTAGGAACTTAATGATTGAAGTGAATACAGGAGTTACAATTTGAGAATTATCTTATATTCAATTTTTAAAATTCAGGTAGGTTCTCCCCTTTTCAAAAAAAAGGATTCATTCAGGTATTTTATGGGTTTTGCAGTCTACAGCACATAAAAGATACAATTTTTTTTTATGGGTTTTGCAGTCTACAGCACATAAAAGATACAAATGAAAATATATCAGCCAAGTTCAGTCAGTTCTCAGTTCGTATGTCACCTTACTTATATTTCAAATTATCAGTGTTGTGGTTGATGGAGAAAACCACTTTGAATCCATCAGCTCACAAGCACGCCACCACTGCGGGAAGCGCTAACTACATAGATATTGTAGTATTGTACAGAATATTTACAAAGGGAAAAGGAGCAGCAGATGCATATGTTCTTAAACTAAAACATCCCACTGTCTAAAAATGATCAATGAGAAGAAAGCGTTACAATGTCCCCAAAACCTCTGTTAAATAGGAACATCACAATAAACAAAATGCTTTTGTGTCCCCAGAGTAGGGGAGAAACAGCATATAAAAGCTTGCAAGTTGGTTCAAAATTGCACAGCTTGCAGAAGGACGTGTATGTGTGTGTGTGTGTATATATATGTATATAAAAGGAGGAAATTATTAGCAGAATCAAGCTGGAACTGCCACTAATTCACTAAAAATTAATGCAAAAATAGATATAAAATCCCAATTTTAAAGTAACAAGAAAAACAAAAGACTTGACTTGATAGAAGTCTGAATCTATCTACTACGGAAACTGATAAGGAAAAATTAAAAAACAGCACAGAAATTTCCATGCCTGCAAGAACAATGGAGAGCAGGAATATTCTTTTAAGTTATCAGAAACGAAAGAAATCTAGAAATGCTATCTACCAACAGCAAGATGAAGATAGTATTATTAATATTGGTTTAAAAAAAGGCAGAATTATCTAACATTTTTGCTTCAAAAGAAGCAGGAGAAGAAAGATGGTTCATATGCAACCCATGCTGTAACTGATGAGAATATTCAAAGAACTGCAACACCTACAGCTAAAACGGCCATAAATTCATCAGGTTTGATCTTTAATATATCAGAGGCCATAAAATTCCAGGCCTTATATTCAAAACAAGAGCTTGTGCTTGATTCCAGCATGACTTGGTGTTTTACGTACGTTGTGTTTGGGTACACTTATCTTCCAGAACCATGACTTGAAGATACGGAGAA